TGCTGATGGTTCCTCTCCCCCAGCTGTCCCAGTCTCCACATTCCACACTACAGACAATGGTACTTACAGTGACAGTGACAGCACTGGTGCCAGAATTTTCTTATAGGGGTTTAGGGGATGAAGTCTGGTCAGAGGACTCAACTGGGGTGCTGGTGGTGGGGAATGACTTGTTTAAAACTGTGTTTGTATTGCAAATCCACATCTTTTACTTAGATTGCATGCTTATTTGGGTGGCGTGAGGTACTGATGGAGAGTATCGGAGGACTAAAGATCCCTTCAAGTCATGTTTGGTGTCACCACGGTAGATATCAGCAGACCTAAGTCCTGCCAAGAAGCACGCTGACCAAATGCTGATTCTCTGTGTGTTTGGCGTCATCTTGTGACTATAATTGGTATTGCATCATAGCGCCTCTGCTTTCCTTCTAGGGCTGAGGAGGTACCACGTGGTACTTCCTATAGTATCTTCCTTTCTCCATCCTCTCCCCCCACCCTTTCCCCTGGAGATCAGACCTACCTTCCCCTTCCAGCCCCCCGCCCAGAGCATAGGGAGGGGACTCTCAAGAGACTCACAGAGGGATGTGCACCGGCATGGATCGTGTTTGTCCAGATAATGGCCAAGTGTGTCCCAGCCACCCCCCACACGCACCATCACATGGTTCCGGAGGACCTGCAAGGGCCAAGGGTAAGGTTGATGGAAGAGTGGAGGGTGTCCCCTATTCCTAGACCAGCCTGCAGGCTTCCAGCATGCACTCCCATCCATGTACAGACGCACATGCAAATGCTCCCTTTCACACGTGTGTAGTTGGGAGTGTGCATATTTTGCAGCCTGACTGTCCTCCATGACTGGCATCAGATAACACATGTTGTCATGGGTGGAAGCCAGGCTGACAAACAGAAAGTTGCCCCACAATGAAACAGGGGATCTCACAAGCATTGCGTAGTCTGGCCCTAGAACCCTCTGTTTTCTCTCTCCACTGTAATAGGGTTTGCCCCTGCAAATGCTTGTATCAGAAATGGGGTCCTGGCTTTGCCCTGATGTGTGTGTGTCAAAGAAGTCAAAGGAAACTTAGCCCCACTCCACTCTGGGTCACAGCCTCTCCAGGATTCTATTTCCTCAGTCGAAAAGTGAGGCCACAGTTCCTTGCCCCAGCCTACTTCACAGGGCTTTTGGCTTAGGGTCTGGGTCAGGGTTCAGGGAGCTGGCTGCCCCTAGGTTTGGCCTGTGCCCAAGGTAAAGGCTCGGCCATGCCCCTGAGCTGTTATCTACACTGCTGGGTACATACTGTTTCTGGTGAGGAACAGTCAGGTATGAGGGGTGGGGAGGTTGGGGTAGACACATTTCAGACCTCTACTACTGTTCACTCTGCAGAATGTACCAAGCCAGCCATATGAATTATGGGGTCTGTGTGGCTGGGCCACGCCCTGAACACAAATATGGGACTGTCAGGCACTTTGCTTTGACCAAGCCTGTGGGTGAAGTGGAGGTGATGAAAATTGAGAGTACGCTTCATAACCTACTCCTGCCTGGGGACCCCTCTGGACTAGGCTAAGGTGGAGGTGAAGGGGTGGTGGTTCTGGCTGCCCTAATGAGAAGAGGGGATTGACTTGCCAAGTTTGTCAGGGATCTTCTGGAATTATCCAAGGGAGGGAAAGCAAGTCCCAAGGCCTGACAAGTTGAGGTGAATGGTGATAGCCTGCCCTTGCTGTCAGGCCTGGGCAAGGTCCCATGGAAGGAAATCCTATTCTGCTGATTCTGGGGTCCCTCCACCATCATCCTGGGACTTACCCGGATAAAGATGAGGGTGTTGGAGTCCCCTACACGGTACTTCCCCTCAGACACCTTGACCATGGAGAACTGAACTGGGCACGTGCAGTGGCTCACGAGACTCTGAACCTGTGAAGAGTAAGCAATGGGCTGAGCCCTCCCTCTGCACAAGTGCCCAGCTTACCCCTCCACACACACTAGGTCAAGCCCAATGGGGGGCCTGCCTGCCCGCCAGAGCCAGCCCGAGAATTCTGCTGAGATCAGGGTTAGGGGCTGAGAAGCGAGTGGAGAAGACTTTTAATGCCAGTGAGAACAAGGCCTTGAGTGGTCAGCTGTGATCCAGTGCCCTCAAGGGTAGGCTGACTGAGGTGGTGGGGTGTAATGATGAAGAAGGCGCACCTTGGCATCTGACGGGCTCAGGTCGGAACCTGCCTCCACTGTGTCACAGGCCTTAGCAAATTAAGAAACCTCTCTGAGCGCAATTCCTCGGTGGTAAATATGGGGCTAATCACAGTAAGGGCTAACTCCTGTGACAAGCCCCCTCTGTGCCAGACACTGTCCTGAGCACTTTGCACTTTAACATTTAATATGCATGTCGGCCATAGAAGGTACTGTTACTATCCTTGTGCTACAGATAGAGGAACCGAGGCACAGAGAGGTTAAATAATTTGACCAAAGTCACACAGCTGCGAAGCGGTGGAACTCAGACTTGATCCAAAGTGTCAGAGATGGCGCCAGAGTCTGCGTTCTTAAAAACTGTTCCACCAGGGGTTAAATGAGAGAGGCGCAGAGTGATGGATTTATAATAAAAACATAATAAGTGGCTTAAGCACTACTATATGTGATTAGCGCTGAGGCTCAAATTGGGACATGACTCAAAGGCACGTAGTGGATTAATGTCAGGGTGGGGACTGGAGCTCAAAGGGGACAAGAAAGGGAGGGGGAGAGGGGAGAGAGGTGGGAGAGGAGGGAGTGGCAAAAGAAAGCGGGGCGACGGGGTGGTGGGAGTGGGCTTAGGGGTGTGTCCAGAGCCCCGCACCATCTGGTCCAGGTTGCGGAAGTGGCAGGGCCGGCGCACGGGGGGCGCAGGTGGCGGTGGGTCGGGCGGGGGCAGGGCCAGTTCCTGCCGCAACTCCTCGTCGATTTCCTCCTCCAGCTGCACCAGGGTGGGCGCCGCAACTCCGAAGCGCCAGGCTCGGCGGCCCACCTCCAGCAAGCACAGCACCACGTTCTTCACGTTCTTGCGCAGCACCAAGTCCTCGGTCTCAAACATCAGCACCTCTGTCAAAGGGACGGGAAAGGGGGAGAGGGAGGGGTAGGCAGCCTGAACCCCCTGCTGACCTTTCCAGAGCCAAGCGGGTGTGAAAGTCCTGGCGGCCATCCCTGGACTGGGGTGGCAGGCATGGAGGGAGGTCTGGGTCTGAAGATCCCAAGCCAAGCCAGCCCCTAGGAAGGGTCTGAGTAGAATTGCTCATGCACTGAGTGCAGACAAGATGGCCTGTCTAACAGGAGAGGTCATGGGGGTGGGAAGAGGTGACATAGCCAAGCAAAAGAACCTGGGGCCTAGTTACCCGCCGGAGTGAGAGAGGGGTTAGCTCCACCTTGCCATTCTCCCCATTCAGTTGCCAGGACAGACTAGGAGGGAGAAGCAGTTTGTCCTGCTTCTGGACCACCCCTCCCATCTCCAGTATCCACCAAGCATCTCAAACTCAACTCCCCAACCCCCGCCACCCCCCACTCAGCTATAACCAGGCAGGGGTGAGTACAAGCTCTTGGGCCAGACTCCTAGCATTGGAACTCTGACTGTCCCACCCACCAGCTGTGTGACCTTGGGCTAGTCCCTGAGCCTCAGGGATGGAATCTGTTTCATGGTGTTGTGAGGATAGTGGTTAATATTTGCAGACAAATCTGGCATGTGGTAAGTGCTCTATAAAACACTGGATTTGGTCCACCCTCCAGTCCTGCCCCTCGCTGCCTTGCCACCAGCCAGTAGCCGTGCCTGACCTTCCCTCTGTCTCACCCCCACTGCCTTGGGAATGGAAGATGTCGCAATATCCGCTGCTGGGTCCGAGGCCAATGAGATGAAGGATCCTGACATGTCGCTCCCCTGAGTCACAAGCCCCAGCACGACTAGCCCTTCCTGAATGTCCACTGCCTCCTCCCTATCCTCCTTGTACCCACCCTAGGCCTATGCCCTCACCAGCTCCAGCTTCTAGTTATCCCAAAACAGTGCCTTTTCTGTGCCTTCGTCTCTGCCTAGAATTCCCTTTCTCCTAAAAGTTTCTTTATTCCACAAGTCTCAATTCAAACCTCTTTCTATGTGGTTTCTCCCCTGCCTCCTCACATTCCACCTTATCAGGTGGCTGTTTCCTCCCCTGGCTTCCCAGCACACACACCTCTCTTTTGAGCTTTTATCACTTAGGCTATAATTTATGTAGCTACTCATCTGTCTCCGTTCCTAGATCATGAACTCCTTGGATACTGGGTCTCAGTGCTCTGGGTCCTCAGTACCCAGCATGGTGCTTGACACAAAGGAGATAGGTATTCAATATGTGTTTGTTGAATGAATGAATCATTCAATCAACACATTTATTTTTTTGAGGATTTACTATGAGACGGGAAAACTGAGGCATAAAAAGGGATGAGCTGGCCCAAGGCAAATCTGGAAGGAGGACATCAGTTTTTGACCCCCAATGCAGCCTGGGCCTCAGAGAGGAGGTGGACACCCTGCAAAGTAAGGGTCTGGAGGGGGTCCAGTGTGGGTACCTTGGATGCCCATCTCCTTGCGACACCACTGGATGAAGTTGGAGACATTGTCCCGGGCCTGGAAGGTGCCCGGCTGGGCGGCCCCGTTGCAGGAAACCCCAGCCCGAGGCATGGGAATCCTTTCGGCTCTGGCAGGTGCCTCAGCCAGGAAAGCCAGGGCGGCCTCGGTGATGGTGTTGGCATGCCGGCACAGCACCAGGCCCGTCTCCAGTCCCTGCAGGAAGTTGGCCGCGTTGATGTCCAGCCCATAGAGATCCCGAAGCCACTCAGCCAGGTCCTCCTTCATGGCTTCCAGGTACTGTTCGCTGGACTTAAAGGGCCGGATGCTGCGCAACGAAGGCCCCAGATTCTCAGGCCTCCTCCCACGTCCCCCAGATTGGGACATGGCTCAACTTTCAATAAGGAAGGAGGTGGGCACCTGTTCTCTCCTGCTGCTGCGTCTTGGCTGGTTCTCCCTGACTCTGGGTTTCCCGTCTATCCTCTGAGAGCCTAGGACTGCCGGCTCTGCTACTTGCCACAGGCTTTAGCGGCTGCCACCAGACCGGCCTGGTCCCCATCCCCCCACATTCCTCAGTCCCTGCCAGAACTTTTCCTACTTGGTGGCCCTGCAGCAACCTCACTCTCCAGCTGCCAGTCTGCTCAGAGTTTGCCGCTTTTCAGGAAGGATGGAGGTGAGGACCCTCCTCTCTCCCCCCAGGGCTGGATGGGTCAGGCTAGCTGCCTCTCACCCCCTACCGCTGGCAGTGGAGCCTGGAGTGGCTGTGGGCCTCTCCACTCTGCTTTCCTCTCTCCTTGGAGACAGCGGCTGCTATAAACACTCCTTGTTAACCCTTCCTGGAAGACGAAGACTGCCCTGCCAGAGCCTGCCCTGGAGGCGATAGAACAGGGAGGTGAGGCTGAGCAGGATGGGAGCTTCTAGGGAATGGTGGGGGGTGGGGAGCAGGGCCAGGGGGTGTTGTGCCCACGGGCTCTGGTGAGCACTGTAGGATGGGGATGAAATAGATACGGCAATAGAATCCAAAGACTTGAGTTTAGCCTTGGACCATTTGCTAAATCCCTCTGTGATCTTTGTATCCTACCTACCCTCTCTGTGCCTTAGTTTCCTCAACTGTAAAATGGGAATAATAATATCTACCTCTCTGGAGTGTTGTGAGGAATAAAGGAATAACGTATGTGGAAAGTATCAGACTGTCAGGACGCACACGCTCAGGACAGAGTGGATCCCGGCTTTCAGTTATTCTCCCAGCAGCCCTGTCTAGGCTCCATGATCCCCACTTTCTTTGGAGAACCTTCTCCATCCCTAAATCTAACTACGCGATTCCTCTAGAGTGGGCTGTCAGTTGCAGTACCTCACCCCAGGGCCACAGCACTGCATTCCTTCAACAAATATTTCTTGAGTCCCTATCGTGTGCCAGGCACTAGTATAGACCTGAGGATAGAGCAATAAATGGGGCCCCTGACCTCATGCTTACATATTAGTGGCTGCTGAATGACAGATAACAAACAAACAAATCTATAGCAAGTCAGATGGTGATAAATTCCAGAGATATAACTAGAGGAGATGAAGGCGTGTGGAGATTTATATAAGGTGGTCAGGAAAGGCCTCACTGACATGGAGACGTGAGAGAAGTAAGGAAGTAAGACCTGCAGGTATCTGGGGGAAAGGTTGTTGGGCAGAGGGACTAGCCAGTTGAAAAGCTCCAGGCAGGAGCATGCTTGGCATATTTCGGGAATAGCAAAGAGAGGTGGGATATGAGGCAGAGAGGAAATAGGGTCTCAGATCATGCAGGGCTTTTCTTCACCGTTAGAAGGGAATTTTCTTTCAATGACCTTATAAAGGCATCAAGGCTGTGATTATTTTACCCATTTTATGGATGAGGAAACAAGAAAAACCGAAGTGTGTAGGAGGCCTTAGATCCTCACTTATATGATCCCTTCCATAGGGTTGAGTGAGTGTCTTCATGACACAGCAGCTGGGTTTCCCCTGAGTTAAGGCAATGAGCTGGAAGTGGTGGAGTGGGAAGGAGAGCTGAGAAAAGATACCGATAGAACAGAAAGGCGAGGAGAGAAAATAATGATACAAATAAACGTAGTGCTTTAAGGGTCAGAAAAAGTTGTACTGTAGCACTATAGCTGACTTTCAGATGAGGAGACTGAGGGTCAGAGAGATAGCATGCTGAAGGTCAAACATCTTTTCTATTTATGTGGTAGAGCTGAGATTCCAACCCAGTCTATTGGGGGCCAAAGCCTCCCTCTACTCCCCCTTAATGCCTTTTTGTGAGGGAAGGTAGGGGACACCTGGGTTTTGAGTGCTTTTAGAGGCTCAAAAGGCAGCTATTCTTGCAGTGAACCCTATGGACAGGTTAGGTTCCAGACTCCAGACCCACCCCTTGTGATCCAACAGAGGCCCTAGAGACCAAACCAAGTTCTATTGGTTCTGGCTACTCCCTCTCATCCTATTAAAGAGGGCAGCACAGCCTTGGGAAGAATGGATAAGCACAGTGAGTGGGCTGGAGGCGAGGTGGGGCCAGAGGGACATGATCTCTTGATTCCAGGGTGGACCAACCAGCTCATCACCATGGTAACCCCAGAGTAGCAGTCCAGCCTTTTTTTGAGTACCCATCCATGTCCAAGCCCTCTCCTTTTTCTTCCATGAATATTCTTGATATCTGGTCCCCCATCTTTACCTCCTGCTGTTAGGATCTTTGTCTTCTCTGGCCACAATGACTGTAATGGCTCCTAAGTGGGTCTCCCTCTATCAGAGGAAACATCCTAAAATACAGTGAAGTTAGAAAGCTCAGCAGCTCTACATTGCTGGAAGACCATGGCTCTTGGTATTTAGTTGAGTACTGTATGGTGAGGATGAAATAGACACAGCAATAGAGTCCACAGACGTGAGTTTAGCCCTGGACTCTTTGCGAAATCTGTGATCTTCATATGCTACCAAAGCTCAGACTCTATAGCCCGGCACCCCAAATCCCCACCTAATTCCCCCTCCTCCTGAAAAGTTCCTGGCACCCCTTTCTGGTTGTGCACTAGGTCTAAGCCTTTCACAACTAAAAGGCTCCTTAATATGTTCTCCTAAATAAAAGTACAGTGGACCCTGGTTCTCCACCATTAGCCACACCAAGAACTGGTTGAATCTTTCAAGCAACTTTTCCTGAAAGCTTTCCAAAACTCTTGGATGAAATTCATAGGCCCCTCTGTGACCTACCTCATCATCTTCCTGAGAGGGTTGTGAAGATGGGAGGACACAATATATGAAGAGTTAGAATGGTGATTGCATGCAGTTGCTGCTCAATACATGTGGGCTAGAACGCTAATTTTATTATCATTCCCCATTGTCTTCAACCTCTTTAGGTTGGGCAGGGATCAACCGCAATTTTTCTTGACTTGTCCAGGTCAAACCCCAGGAATTGTGCCTTCCCTGCCCTCCTCCCCCTTCTTTTCATTACAAGTCTAGCTCCCCAGATCCAGCAGATAGCAGGGCACACAATGGTGCTGGGCCAGTATTTGCTGGTGAGGGTGGACGTCTCCCAGCAAGGCAGGCTACTTTCCATGTCAGCTCAGGAACTGCCTGCCTGCGGGGACTACTGCTTGGAGTTGTGGAGTTTGTGCCCTGAACAAAAGTATCAGCAAGAGGGGTAAAAGGTGGCTGAAATCTATCAGGCAATTGGGGTCAAGCCTGGAAGGAGGAAGAGACACCTTTTTCTAATTGGTCTGCCCATAGGGGGCACTTTTCCCGATTGTTCTGCTCATCAGAAGAGCTTTTTGCTAATCATACCGAGGCACTGTGTGCGCACCTGCCCGCCCACCCCGCACAGGTGATGCTGGGCTTCCTTAAGGCAAGGCCAACTTTGAAGAAGGAAGTCCCATCTAAGAAAAAAAGTATATATATATGTGTATATATATATATATATGTACATATAATGTTTACATATATATAAACAACCACCCATTAGAATTCCAACCAGCGCACTTAATGTTTATTGACAGACTACACAGAGATCAGTACTAGCCCTAGAGCCGATTAGAAAGAAGGTGATGAGCCATCATTTTTTCCAGGTTCGCAACCCTCATTGCTACCTCCTGTTGATTGCTTCCCGCTCCCCAAGCCCTGGGCTGGTCGCCTTATACAGACGCGATCTCATACCTGCCTCACAACAACCCTAGGGATAGGCACTACTTTTTTCCATTTCACAGACGAGGAAATAGCTTGACAGAAGCAACGTGGCTTGCCCCGAGTCCTGAGCTAGAAAGTGCAGAAACCTGGGAAATCGGGAGCAGCCTCGCAGGCCCTCCCTCGCACGGGAAATCCTGGGCACTGTAACCCTCTCTTGGAGTCCTGCAGGCTCGTACGCACCATCTTCAGGCGCCTGACTTTTTGCGGAGTCGGGTTGCGGGCAACAGTCAGGGTTCCCCGGGGACAGTGGGCCTGCACTGACTTTCTCCCCGCCCGCAGGCGTGAAGACCCCCTTGTGGAAGAAGGAACTGGAGGAGCCCCGGGCCAGGGAGGAGGAGGCGGAGGCAGCGGAGGAGGGGTCGGAGGAAGAAGACGAGGGGAGGCCGCTGCAGGAGAGCGCAGCCGAGAGCGAGGCGGAGTGCGGGGGCGCGGAGAGCAGCGAGGGACGAGAACGCGGCTCGGTGTCCTACAGCCCGCTGCGCCAGGAGTCCAGCACCCAGCAGGTGGCGCTGCTGCGGCGCGCGGACAGCGGCTTCTGGGGCTGGCTCAGCCCCTTCGCGCTGCTCGGCGGCCTGGCGGCCCCGGTGGACAGGTGAAGGCGCGCGCCGGGGCCCTGGCAGGAGGGGATGGCGCGCTGTACTGAGCGTCCGTGTTTCCGCCCGCAGGAAGCGGATCCTTCCGGAGGAGCCGTGCGTGCTGGAGACGCGGCGGCGGCCACCACGCGGTGGGGGATGTGCACGCTGCGAGATCCTTTTCTGCAAGAAATGCAGGAACCTGCACAGCCCCCCCGCCTACGTGGAGCACTGTATTCTGGAGCACCCAGATCTAGGTGAGGTGCGGGCTTAGGGAGGGGGACCCGGTGCGCCCCCACTCACAGCCTTTGTGCTCTCCATCCTCGCCTGACCCCAAACTCCCCTCAAATTTCTATCTCCTGACGCGGAGCGCTCTCCAGCACATCTCACAGAGCTGCTCCTTCTTAAAACTGCCCTCCCGTAGCGCCCACTTAAGCAAGCAGGTCCACTGTCGATGCGGGGCTCCCACCTGTCATCTAGCGCCCACCTAATGCAGAGCCCAACCTTACCAGGAGCCCCATTCCTTCCATAGTGCCCCCAAGGGCTACCCTGCACCCTGCAGCACCCAGTGCCTACTGCCCACCTGACTCGTGTCCCCTGGCACAGCCTCACATTCATCTCTGGGTATTTCAGGTCCTTTTAGCCAGCTGGGCAGAGGCATCGCCTAGAGGAAATAACCTCCAGGTTTCCTTACTCCCCTGAGAAACCTGCCCCTTCCTCTCAAGTCATTCAATAAAGCCTCTAAGCAAAATGTCAGTGCCTTTAGGTGGGGGCAGGGTGGCTCTGGGAAGGGTGATGAAATTGACCCTCCTTCCCCTCCCCAGAGGTTCAAGCCAGAGGGAAAAGGGCAGGCCAAGAGCCTCCTCCCTCTGCTCCTCCTCCCCCAGGACAGGGTGGAACAAAGCACTTGCATCTAAGGCAGTCAAAGGCCATTCTCCCCACTTCGCAGAGGAAAAAAAAAAAAAAACAAAAA